ACACACACACACACACACACACACACACACACACACACACTCTCTCAGGAACACCCATTATTGATTGAAAGTTAGTCACTGCAGAATCCATAAAGTGGGAGGGTTACCCCACCCAGAAAAAAAAAAAATTGGTTCTGACATGATGAAATCTATGCAGTTGAATAGTCACCTTAATTCATCACAATGCACTGATTGATCTCTACATCCCTGCTCTTCAGGATTATCCAGGGCATGGCTATTAAAAAAAAAAAATAACTCAATCTTAAAGTGGCACGTTTGTGAGAATTTAGCAAAAATGAGGGAGAAGGGGAAAAGCAAACAAGAACAGGTCATGAAAAGACATTCATCTTCAGCTGTATGGAAATATTTTGGATTCCACAGAGATGATATTGAGCAAAAGCATGCGATGCGTCAGGACTCCATCTGAAACTACCGGTCGATAAACTCCATTTGCCTATAGTTTATTTTGGTTGAATTTTGAGTTTTGTTTTATAAAAACATCACAATATTAAATAACAAACATTCCAAATATCGTGATGAGATCCCCCCCCCCCCCATGCTACTCACAAACCACCATGCTGTGCCAAAGATGAACAGCAAAGGTCCCTTCGTCCACTGCTCTGCTTCAACTGTCCCTCTGAAGAGAAAACGCCATGACGACACAACCCTACCTGACATGTGCCACAGCTGACCTTCTAAAATGGCAGGTTGGGACTGAGGGCTGAAACAGTAAAGGGGGGGGATCCCATCATATTCCCCTAAAGCTTTGGCATGTAGAGTATAAATAGAGCTTAACCATGACAACAAATAGGAGCAGGATCACAAAACCTCCCCCAGCTGCCACATAGCCGGGGGCCACAAATCACATGTACGAGATGTGGCAATGAGAAAAATCACAGGCTGATGCAAACCGCGTGCCAGACGCTGCAAGCAGCGCACCGTGACACCCTCCTGTGCGTAGCGTGCCCCCCTACCCCCCCAGAGGCCTGCCGTTACCACGCGCATGTAAGAACACAAGAACATAATAAATTTACAAACGAGAGGAGGCCTTTCGGCCCATCAAGCTCGTTTGGGGAGAACTTAACTAATAGCTCAGAGTTGTTAAAATCTTATCTAGCTCT